CCCGTGTCCCCCGGCCCATCCCAGTGACAGGCCACTGTCTTTCCCTGAAAGTGCATGCAACCCCCCATCTCCCCGGGCTCATTCAGAACGGGCTTCTCCCCTGTCTGGTCCCACTCTCATGCTGGTCACTGCAGCAGCCTCTTACTGGCCCACCTGGCCCCCAATTCTCAGGGGACAGCTGGTGTCACCCTTCTGAAGCCCAGGTCAGCCCCTGGCCTGCCCTTCACAGAAGGCCCTGGCCCATGCAGGCTGCGCCCTCGGGCCCCACCCGCACCCTCACCTGCCTTCCCGTCCCTGTTCCTGCAACCCCTCCACCATATGGCCCTGACTCGGGGGCTCCACCTGACGGCTCCCACTCTTTCCTTAGGAAGGCCTCTCAGCCCCCTCTCTGGGGATGCTCTCCCTGGCGTGTCCACTGTGGAGTAGACTCGACTTTCTTGGCATTTATTTTGGTTCTCGCCTCTCCTCCTGCACCCCCGCAGCACACACTCCAAACGCCCAATGGTGAGCCAGGAGGCAAGGAGTCTGTCCCGCCTCCTGGAACACACAGCTTGGTGTTTCGCGGGTCCACAAACCCAGTCACTGAGGGAATAAATGATCAGGAGTGTGTCTGGGTGAGCCCAGCCTCCACTGCGCTCTGGGAGCCTGGGCGACCCACCCCCCGCCAGCAGAAGGTCCACGGCAGGGGACCTGCACACCAAGACCTCCCATCCCACAGATCCACCCTTCCACCTCCATTCCTAGTAATCAGCCCCTACCCACCCCCGCCCAAAGCACCCAAGGCGTCTTCCCCAACTCTCGGCACCCCCGTCACCCTGCAAAGCCTCCCTCAAGCTAGAGCCCACAGACCCTTGTCAGGCTCCCCACTAGCTGGGTCCTACCCTCACTCTGCAGACCCTGCCCATTCCATCGGCCCCTGGAGCCACCTCCTCCCCCAAGTCTTGGCGTCACCCCACCCCCAGTGTTCTCAACCCTCCCTCATGCTGGTGCCCTGTTGCCTTTGGTGGGGCCCTTTCCCCTCCAGCTCTTGGACTTGCAGGCCAGGCCCAGATGTCCCCCCGGCCTCCCTCCAACGACAGCGCCCGTACCTGCCGGAAGAGGGTGCAGTTGACCCTCGGTGAACGCAGGGATGCCCAGGAGCCCTGCAGGGCAATCTTGGGGAGGGTGCCAGTGCCCATGCCCTTCTCCTGCCCTTTCTGGCTCGCAGACACAGCAGGGTGGAAGAACTCGGCAGGCATGGGTAGGAGTGGACTGGAGGCATCCGGGGAGAAGGGGCTCGGGGGCTCTGCTGGGGAGGGAGGAGATGGAGCTGTGGGGCTGGTCAGACCAACAGGCAGCCCTGGAGAGCGGACCCTGAGAACCGGTCTCTCTGGGCCGGGGGAAGGGACCCCCTAACACACCGAGACTGTGGGCAAGTCCCCCTCTCTGTGCCTCGATTTCTCCATCGTGAAAACAAGAGAGAAATACGGAGCCAGCCCGTGTGATTCCCGGGAGGATGGGCACCAGACAAAGGCACAGCTTTTGGAGCCAAGCAGACCCAGGTTCGAGCCCTGACCCCTTCCTTGGGTTCTTCCTCTGTAAAGGGGACAAGGATGCTACTTCACAGGGTAGAAGAAACAGGCAGAGAACTCCCAGCCCAGGCACCCTTGCAGGGGCCCCTCTGAGACAGAAGGTTGGGTGGGCATCTCAGCCCGGGAGCTGAAACTGCACTGGACGGGCAGAACTGACTGACTGGCCAGATCAGTGTGGCCTGGTCTGAGGGGTGAGGACAGGGACTTGGGGAGGTCTTGTGTACATGTGTTGGGGGAGCAGCAGCCTCAGGCCATGGTCCCCTCAGCACCTTGCAGGATGAGGATGGGATAAAAAATTTGGGAATATGGACGTATATACCCAAGATGGCGGGACAGCCCAAATGGCCCCAGACGGGATTCCTGTTCTTCACTCTCATGTCATGTGATGAAAATGTAAAGATGAGACTTCACTCAACCAGAATGGCTCTCAGGGGCCAGCTGCAGTGGCTCACGCCTGAAATCCCAGCAGGAGGACTGCTTGAGACCAGTCTGGGTAACATAGCGAGACCCTGTCTCTACTAAAAAAAATTTTTTTTTAAAATAGCTGGGCGTGGTGGCACATGTCTGTGGTCCCAGCTACTTGAGAGGTTGGAGCAGAAAGACTGCCTGAGCCCAGGGGGTTGAGGCTGCAGGGAGCTGTGATCATGCCACTGCACTCCAGCCTGAGTGTCAGAGTGAGACCCCAACTTGAAAGAAAAAGAAAGGGAGGGGAGGGGAGGGGAGGGAAAGAAGAAATAAATAGCTCTTGGGTCAGACCCTGAGCCCCGACTTTTGGTGCAGGAAGTCTAGGGTCACAGCACCTCAGCCCTCATGTCCAGCTGAGAGGCTGTTGGCTTTACGGAGGGTCCGTGGAAAAGTCCTAGGAGCTGCCCAATACTGGCATCCCAGAAGGGTTCTTTGGGTGGGATCAGGGATTTGGGGGGGTCCCCCTTCTGCTGGGCTCATCTCTGTGCCATTCTCCTCAGCCGGTGCTGTGAGGCCAGATTCCAGCCACCTTTCAAAGGTGAGCCCAGGCGATCGCAGGACAAATCAGTCCCCTGCTCTCTTGCCCAGAGAGAGCCCAGGATGGGCCCAGGGCACAAACAGGACCGAAGGATGAGTGTCAGGACATTTTACAAGAGGGTGGCTAAAGGCACTGGGCTTTCTTCGGCTTAACATCATTCTGTGTGAGAATCTGCGGGACAGACACCTCTCAAATTCAGCTCTAGAAAAACACATCAGTAATCTGGCACATTTCCTTTTGCTTGATAATGAGAGCTGTGTGGACCCAGGTTACCCTTTCGACCAGAGCTCTTAGGAAGCTCAGCAGGAAGCATCTCTTGCTTAGGTGTCTGTTATAATGACCTCATCTCTTTGTATTATTTAGCTCTTGACATTTTTTTTTTTTTAGTTGGAGTCTCACTCTTTGTCGCCCAGGTTGGAGTGCAGTGGCACGCTCACAGCCACCGCAGCCTCGACCTGCTGGGCTCAGGTGATCCTTCCGCCTCTGCCTTCGAAGTAGCTGGAACTACAGATGTGCACCACCACACCCGGTTAGTTTTGTGTGTGCCGTGATTTACTATAGAGACAGGGTCTCACCAAGATGCCCAGGCTGTGGTTCTTGATCTTTTCTCATTGTTATATCAGGCCTGAGGGTCTGTCTCCCTTTCATTACCAGATACCCATCTGGATCTTTCTGGACTAAATATAATAAAAAGGACTAAAGAAAAAACTCAACCACCACCCTCTCAAGTGGATGCCCAAGATCAGGGCTGTGGGGGACAGGTGGGGCTCTCCCTCACCTTGGCTGCTCTCATGTTTCAGCCAGGACTGGACGGGGTTGAACGGAATATCCTCCATCTCACACAGGAAGCTCTCTGGACCCGAGGAGACAGCGGCAGAGGGCAAGGGGAAGAAGCATTCGCCCAGGTCCCCAACACGCATGGGCTCAGGCGGGCCCGACTCACCCTGCAGAGGAAGGGAGATAGGATGGGGCCGGACAGAGGAGGCAGGGACGAGGTGAGCCCACCACAGCTGCCTTTATGCCCTGTTCCACAGCCCCGTGCCTGGGCTGCCCTCACTGCTGGAATGCTCTTCCTCTCGCCTTCTCCACCTGACTATCTTCCAAAATCAGGTGAAAAGATCCCACCTCCAGGAAGCCCTCTCGGATGACCCAAGTAGTTCGCCATTTCCACGAGTACAGACTTTGGCCCAGCACAGAAGGTACGTCAAGGCTGGCAAAAGTGTCAGAAGGACAGGCTGAGAGGCCACACGTGCTTCCCTGTGAGTGTGACCTTGGGTGGGTTCCTTCCCTTGGCTGAGCCTCGGTTTCCACATCTATAAATGAGGAGAGTAACACCTCCTTCCTAGCTACTGCACTAAGGTCTTGCCTGCAGAGCACTCGTCCTTGGCATTCCTCAGCCCTGCTGCCCAAGTTGCCCCTGCCTGGCAGACTCCCGAGAGCTGCCCTGATGCCCTCAAGGCAGATGGACCCACACCCTGGCCTCCTATGGTCTGCTGAGCCTGGCATGAAACGCGGTCTCAGTTAACCAGATTGCACCCTGCCTAAGCCCAACAGGGTCCCAGAAACAGGGTCCTAAGCCCAACAGAGTCCCGAGGAGGGGGAGCAGTGGGGTGTGGGGGTGCAGGAGTCTATCAGCTGTCAGGAAGGGGTGGAAAGGTCCTCCCACCAGCCTTCCCTGAGCTGATGGAGGACCAATTGGGGACCAGAGGTGCCAAACCCAGGCTGCCTGGGGGTCCAGGGGATGGAGGCTCTCTTCAAGCAGGGCCATGAGGTCCCCACCTCGGGCCAGGGTCTCCCCCTCCCACATCCACAGCTGTTCCTTACATCTCCAGCCCCACCCCTAGCAGGTATGAACACCTTGGTCTTGAAGTCACAGGCCAGTCACAGAATCAACACAGGGGCCCTTCCTGCCCTCCAGACCTTTTCAGGCTGACCACGGTGGGGGTAGGGGGAGAGGGCAGACGTTGGGGACCAGCCCCAGGGTGGCGTCCCTGCTGTGTCATTCCTGGCTGCGTGGTATGGGGAGGTCACCTCACTCCTCTGGCACACAGTTCCTCGCACACAGAGCGTGGACAGATCATCCCTAATGAACCGAGCTATAGGGCACACAGACCCATGCAGGCAGAGTGTCTGATGCACAGTAAGTGCTTGTGCCCGGTACAACTTCCCCCCTTCAGCCTCAAAGCCTCTCTGTGAGGTTGGCCTGCCACGGATGAGCCCCAGTGAATGGATAAAAAATACCCAAAGCAACAGGAAGCAACGGAGGCCACTGAGTGCTATGGTTGGAGCCCTGGCCAGGCTCACTCACTGTGTATCCTCAGGCAAGTCACTCCACCTCTCTGAGCCCTACCAACAGGAGAGGAAGGCCTGGCACACAGTGAGTGCCACTTAAATGGTGGGCTGGGAAGAAGCAGGATCCTGGCCAGGCAGGCAGAGGTCAGGCCTCAAGGATAGACCCTCCTGCCCAGGAGGCCCTTGGGGATGCTCACTTTGCTGTCTCTGGGGCCAGGTGGGCAGGCCGTGGGGTCCTCGAGACTCAGGTCGTCACCTAGCAGGATGGATGAGGACCTGTCTGAGTTCAGGGAGAAGGCCTCCGTCTCGGCCAGCTGTACCTGCAGAGAGAGGCGGTGGCCTCCAGTCACCCTTGGGGCTAGAAGGGGACAGGCCTGGGTCCCTGAGCCCTCAGCCACAGGTCTAATCCTCCAAAAAGATGCAGAGTGGTGGTCAGAAAGGTCCAGAGACCTACTGGGGATGGGTGATATGCCCAGCCTGTGCAGGGGGCCCAGCCTGGGTGATACGTGATGGTGAGTGACACAGTGGCCACATCTGAGGAAGCCAGGCCTGAGTGGCCCATCTTGCTGTCTGGGACCGATGGCAGGTGAGTGGCCATGAGCTGTGATCTCCATAGCCAGCTGCCTCCTCCCGGACCAAGTGCCTGTCAAGGCTGGGCTGGGTCTGACTCCTATGGCCCTGTGTAGACAGCCTGCACAGCGTGTCACAGGCAGGGAAAATTTCAGGGCCCAGAGACCCTGGAGAATCTGCAGCCTCCGCAGGTGCAGGGTGCGGGGCAGCCCAGACCTGCTGAAGGCTCACCCGACCTGGCAGCCACCTGAGCTGGGGCCAGTCTGGGGCTGGGATGTCCTGGGAAGAGTTCAGGTGCCCACACTGCTGGGGAGAGGGAGGGGCATTAGAGACAGGCTGGGGGGCACAGCCTGGGGACTCCCAAGCAGGCTGGGGCCGAGGCCCAAGCTGGAGGCCAGGGAAGCAGCACCTGAAGGAAGCTTGGGGGCATCCAGGGCTTGAGCTCCCGGATGATGGCCCTGGGCAAGAGCAGGTTGGGACAGTCCCTTCATGTCACAGAAAGGACTAGCAGCACTGGGCCACATGCAGGCTTCTTGCCTGGCTTCAGCAGCACGCAAGGCAGGCAGCTGCCCTTTCTGAGTGCCTACTGTGTACAGCACAGTGCTGCGGCCATGTCACAGGCCTCCATCCTGCACAGACGAACAAGCCCAGGTGTGGGAGATGACCTGCCCTGGTCACAGGGCCAGCGTGTGTCCAGGTTGGCCCAGAGCCAGGGTCCGCCCTCGGGCTGACCCCCTACCAGGCTTCGAGGCCCCAGGTTACCTCTTGCTTATCGTGGTGACACCTCTCGCAGCCGGCGGGCGAGGAGTAGTGGTGGAAGATGGAGCCGGACAGGTTGTCGATGATGGTCAGCTCCCCCTCCAAGGAGTCCTTGATGATTAAAGAGACGCTGTCCAGCCACAGGTTCTCCTAGGCGTACGGGGACGGGGTGGGGACAGGTGGGATTACCGGCTGGGTTCTGGGACTGTGGGGTGGGCAACTCACAGCTGCCCTCCCGGTTCTCTGCACCTGGGACCGACCCCCTCGTCACAGGGTCGCCCCTGCCAGGAAGCAGAGCAGGGTGGGGCCCAGAAAAATGGCGGTCTCCATCCTGGGCC